GACGGGAATGTCAACCCTGAGCCTGTAAAAAGAGACGACGAGGAAACAGACAACTTGTGGGAGGAGTTTCTGTCACCAAATAAACTTGTAAGTTGAATCACAAACAAACTAAATGACTATTGAAAATTCACAGTGCATTCTGATTGGCTACGCTACTTTTATATAAAGTTTTTAGTAATGGGCAATAGGTGAGATAAGTCTCAGTTGAGTATGTAACTCAGAGGAATCGTGTGGTTCTAGAATATAACCATTTAGTATAAATACACAGGTGACTATTGAAAATCTCGCACGTTAATTGGTCGAGAAACTCAGATTATCACACAATAATCGCCTCCAGAGATAATCCAAAATGGCGGCCAGCTGCTTTGTTGCTGTWACCTAATTTTAAATATGTCTTTTATCTTCTTTCTTTTCTGTTTTTAAAGAATCACCTGTATATTTATACTAAAACAATAATTATTATTCACCTCAGGCTCAGTGAATATCGGGAATAATAACCTCAACTTCGTTTCGGTTATTATTCCCCAATATTCAGTTCGCCTCGAAAAATTGAAATTCCAGAGAAGTGGGTGTACCTTTTTTAAAAGTTCCTCCATTGTTAGGTATGCAAATTTTCTTGAACGATACATTCTCAATTCTACATAGAAGTGAGGCTATAGGGTACAGTCCGCTATAAATTTTGAGAGAAATTATGTGAAATATATGGACTTTGCTTTATATTTCTAAAGCTATTTTCTAGAAGAATTTTGCTTTGCTGCTCATAAAAACGATGGCTGAACATTTTACATTTAAAAATAAATTTTAGAAATCCTTGTCTGGTGTGAGTAATTTGGAGGATATCACCTGCCTGGAAATGCAAGTAAATACTAATGAACAGAGCCTGGGAAATTTTGGTAAGAATATTTCTCAAGTTGTATCTGATTTATGTTAATTAAACCGCCACCCGGTTAGCTCAGTTGGTAAGAGCGTTGGTCTGTTGTGCGGGAGGTTGTGGTTCAAGCCTCAGATGGACCTACACTCAGGGTCTTAAGATAACTGAGGAGAAGGTGCTGCCTTTGCAATATTATCTGCAAATAATTAGACCTTCCAGTCTTCTCCAACAAGGACTTAAAACCGTGGCCCTGTCTCCCACCCCTTCCTAACCTGCTGTAAAAAAGGGGAATACATATATGTTATTTACCAGCCAGGAGGTCCGGATAGGGAAAAACTGTGCCCGAGGTCTTGAATATACGAACTGAGGCGGTTAGGCCGAGGTCCATTTTCAAGACCTAGGGCACAGTTTTTCCCTATCAGGACCGACTATAGGACGGTAAATATTTATTATTTTTTTCCCCGTATTGTTTTTACTTGTTTTTGTGATCGTTTTGTGTTGTCGTTTAGCAGCCAAGGATACCGGACCGCGCGCGCGGGCAGATACTGACAAAATACCGCCCGCTCAAACAGCCAATCAGAACGCATGATTTCTTAGGATACCGGACTTAAATTATTTTAAGGCCCCTGCATGAAGTTGGGAATAACATGCACATTCTAATGAGTGCTCATCGTAAGCTCTTGAAGTTGTTCCAGGGTTTGATGCAAAGCAAAAACAATTTTTTAGTCACTTGACTAAGATACATTGGTTTGTGGCTGATAATTTCAACTATTTTTTTTTTCGCTGATTCCAGGTGCAATGCTACCAAATCTTGTTCAACTTAAATTATCAAACAGTGTAATATCCACAGTCAGGTAAGGTTTAAGCATCTGAAGTTTAGCTTTAAAGTGCT